CTCAAGAGGTTCTGGGTAGAGGGCCACCCCCCGCCACTGCAGAGGAAGGCAAACCCCCCACAGTCCATACCAGTCCGACCATGGAGTAAAATTCCTTCTTGATTCCAAATATGCCGATTGGTCTGATCCTGAGTGAAGGGACAAGTGAGTGAAAAGGATTTAGCCTTTAGTGTCTTTGCTGCATTCATGAGGTCAGTGAGTCTTATAGATTCATAGATGGTAGAGTTGGAAGGGACCACAATGGATCATTGTGTCTGACGGGGCAGGGGAAGGGCCACTTTTCCCCATGCTCCTTCCCTGCCCTTTCCTTCCCCTCCCCTCTCTTCCCCCCGCCCCCTTACCTGAGGTTCTGGCACCAGGGCACCCACATGGTTCCAGGCTAGAAGCCCCTGGTGAGCCTTTCCACTGGGGGAGCGGGGCCAGGCGGGCCTTGCTGTTGCAGGAGACTGCCGGGGCTTCCCTTGGGTCCTATTGCCCCTGGCTCCTGTCATTTTTGCCAGGAACCAAGGACAGATAAATATTAATTTTCTAATTCAGGGAGGCCAAGCTTTGGTTGATTTGATTAGCCAAGTTAAGATAGTCTCCTCCTCAGCATGCTCTCTTTGCAGAATGCGCTCCATCTGCTCCAAACTTGGACTGGCCCCCTGCTCCTTGGGGAAAGGCTGCTGGCTCCAAGAAGCCCACAATAGAGGTGCAGGTCCTTCTGTTGGACAGCTTAATGTGCAGTGAAATGCTGTTCTGCTCTCCTGCACTGCTTTCCAAGTTCATATAGGGCTGGCTTTGGTTATCTCCTGGTTGAGTGGGGCAGCATGGGATGTGAGGGGATAGCATCTCCAGGAGCCATGGCAGCACCAAAGAAAGGGACTGCTGCTCCTTGAAGAGTTCTTACCCTGGCACAAGGGATGGGCAGGCACCTAGCAATAGAGATGTCAAGCCTCAGAGAACAGACGTCGTATCTTGAAGAACAGAGGGTCCCACTTCTCAGTACCAAATGATGTTAGGGGATTTTGCTTTCATCTATACTTAAACTCCAGCTGCCTACCCCTTCCAACATCCATTCCCTTTTATACAATTAATCTCATTGTTTGCACATCATTCCCATTTTGAAAAGAAATCTCAAACACACCCTGGGGCCTGCTTGTAGTAAGGATGATTCAGCATTTCATTGTGCAGAACGCTGTCTGTACAGGGCTTCCAGAGGAGTGGGGGGTTGTGAGGTGAGTGTCACTTGTTGATGCAGATCAAAACTGTCGGGAGACTCATACCCAAGCAGGAAAGAGGTAGAAAGTTCTTACTTTTCCTTTTTTCCTCTACTTTGCAGCCTCAAGATGAGGGAGATGGTTGAACTTCAGATCCTTGAAGTGCTCTGTGTGCTTGAGAGCTCGGATTCCACTTAGTGTCACCATCAGATTTCAGCTACCATCACCATGCAGCAAGCAAGGCAGTCGGCAAGGGGAAGGGAATATGGAGCTTATTGGCTTCCTGCCTGGAATCCTTGCTCTTTGCCATCCCTCGATTGGCATGCTGCTTCATGGTGTCTGGAAGCTGACATGGCCCCAGTTCAGCCCCAGCTCTGTCATTTTCATTGCCACTCGTGTCATAGAGGAGGCCATTTGTTCTGCGGTTGCATCTATAATGTGGATTATTACCTTGTCCAACCTTAGCTTTTCTCACCAGCCGTAAGGCCAAGTCTAGGTCAGTGACCCTCAACCAGGGTCGTGTGAGAGCCTTTGAAGGGTGCTGCAGGAAATGTAAGGAGAGAAACACATAAGGGCCAGCTCAGGCTTTCCCTGCCTGGCCGTCTTCCTGTCCCACTGCCTGGTCTCTCTGCAAGGAGGTAAGCACTGTAATAAATTGATTAGTTTTTGAAATGGGGGTACCACTCAATTCACAAAAGGTAATGAGGGATGCCTCAAGTCTGGTAAGGGGTGCCTTGAGTCTAAAAAAGTTGAGAACCACTGGGCTAGGTAAAAGGGATGCTCATCTGTTCTAAACGTTCCTAAATTAACAAGATCTCCAGTGTTCAATATTCTTGACTAACCAGCGTTATGCAATTTTGCATGTGGTTAGGGTTTGGCGCGTTAATCCTAAATGTGTACTCTTTCTCCAGATGTGGAGGCTGCTGTCATTCCTGTATTTATAAAGCACTTCCCTTATACCTGTGAAACTGAGAGTTGGAATAGCTTGTAGCAGAGCAGTTGCAGTTTCTGAATTTCCATTTCTTCAGCTTTATTGTCTGGCATCAATACTAAGGAGCACATTTCCATTTTTCCACAGGCATTCCCCCTGGATTTATGCACTGACAGCTTCTATGAGAACAGAAGAGATGCCATTGAAGCCAGACTCCAGTTGCTGCATGCAGCTTCCTCTGAGACTTTGAAGGAGCTGCTTGCTGATGTCTGGAGCGCTCAAGAGGGAAAAGTTTCAGCCCTAGTTAGTTGGAACCGGTTTACTTCCCTCCAGCAGGCTCAGGTAAATAGCTAATAGGTCCTGACTAAGCCTCATTACATTGATGTTTAAGTCCTCGATCCAGCTAAGGTGCCTGGTACTTTAGTATCAGTCGTCTCATAACCTTTATTGTAGGTTCTCTAAACAACTAAAGGGAGGCCAGTATTATCATCTCTATTGTATGGTAGTGGGAAGGAGGTGGGTGGCATGAACTGAGGCACTGACAGACTAAGCAACTTGCCCACCGTCACACAGACCATCTGTGTCTAAGTACAGCCTTGCACTTAGGGAAGAGCAGGAAAATCATCCTCAATTTTTCTGGTCAATAGAGGTCCATGCTGGTATTCTCTGACCCTTTTGCCATTTTTCAGTTTCTGAAGCTGGGAATACTGGAGGAGTATAGCAGCAGGGAGTGTTTGAGCTGCTAGAAATGTCCAAGGAAGGGGTATGAAGTAGGCTTTTGTGGGACTGGAACTGAAGAAATAACACCCCTCCCAATCCCATCTCTACTTATTTACAGAGTTTAGTGTCCTGTTTGGGAGGACCTTTCTTAAGTGGCATGTGTAGACGGCTCGCCCGAGATCTGCGCCACTGCAGAGGGGGTCTTCCTGATCTAGTTGTGTGGAGCACTCACGATCACTGCTTCAAGGTATGTTCCCAGCTCAGAGGTAAAAGCAGTTGACGCTCCCTACTGTGTATATAAAATAAAGCCACTTATGTTCACAGGAGGGGGCTTCAAATGCTTTCATAGCATGTTGACCATGTACTCCTTGCATTCACAAACCTGTGAACACTCTGCTTGCATAATTTTGCTCTGGTATTTATCTTGATTATGTACGTCAGAAGTAATGTCAGTTTAGCTTTTTCAACACTTTTTTTTTTAAATTGGAGACAAGGTGTGAGATGAGCAAGATGAGACTTGCCTGTCATCCTTGGTCCTCAAACTGAGAACTAAAGTTTTATAGTAACATTAACATCATCAGTTGTTGAGTCACATAGAGCGACACAGATTTGCAAACAGTACAAGAAGGCTACATGGAAAATGAACGTGTGATAGTGTGGTGGGGGAGGTATGTGAACATGCAGGTGGCTGGAGGAATAAAAACCCAATGGGTGGCTCTAGTTTGCTGCTAACCAAATTTTAAAGGAAAGGAATGGCTAGCTGAAAGGTGTATATGAACTTTTCCTTTTTTGGGAGGGCACAGATTACATAGGCAAAAGTGACAGTGTAGGGATACTTTGTTGTTGGTTTGATTTGTGTACATGTGGGAGAAGCCAGTGTTATCTCTGCTCTTACTGGTGCTGCAGCTTGGAAAGGCACACTGTTTAATGTAGAGTTTTTAATTGCTAACGGTTCTGCATCTTGTATATCAGCTTGGCAGTCTTGGGTCACTTCCTGGCCTCACATTATGTACATCAAAATTAGTGGACCCCCAAAAGTCCTTTGCCTCATAATATTTCTGGCACGCCAGGAATGACGATGGGAAGCTGTGTGCACTCAGGAGTTATCTGTAATAGAAGCTGCACAGGTGCAATGTGTAACAGGCCTTCCCCTCAAATGAATGGCAGGAAAATGACCCCCATCAGCAAAGGCTGCCCAGACTGGTAGCACGTGCAGGATAACCTGGAAATACTGGTAAGAGGATGGCCTTCAGTACTGTGCAGTCAGCATTCAAACCACTGGAACCATCTGTCCCACAAGGGCTAGTTCTTGTTTTGTTGTTGGTCAGAATAGATCAGACTGCTGTCTCTGATATTTATTTCCTTGGTGTAAAGGTAAAGACCGCCTTTGGCACACAAGGACTTCTGAATAAAGGCTTTACACCACAGAGGCAGAGGCCTTCATTGCAATCCTCCTACAGAAAAATCCTTGGGATTTTTTTTTTGTAAGAGCCATTCTTAGACATAGGCAGTGTCTGTGAAGGAACCTGGTGACTGGCCAACAGAGCTATGTAAAGTAAATTTAGAGGTTGAGGGCTTGCAGGATTGTTATGTTTTCCTACCACACTGTGGTGTGGCCTTTCCCAAAGTAGAAAGGAAGGAAGGAAGGTTTTACTTGAATGAGAGGTACTATAGAGAATTTAGGGTATGTTCAGCAACTGAAGACTACTTTTCTACCAATAGCAGGGGATTTTATTTTCTTTCATTTGTCTCTGATGTGTGTGTGTGTGTGTGTGTTTTGG